GACATGTTTTTAACGAAACAATAACCTTAAAACAACGCGTAAAACGGAAGGATTATTTTTTTTCTTTTCGACATAAAAAGTTATACCTAAGTAAAAACAAGACAACCAATAATAAAAAAAACATTGCTAAAAAAAATAATCAAAATATGAAATGAATTTAATTTTGTATAGATGACAATTTAAAAAAAAAACCATTAAAACATCTTATAAAAAACTTAAAGAATATATATTTCGTAAAAAAAATTGTGGATTCGAATTTTATCTGAGAAATAATTAGTCAAGATGTTATCATAATCATAGAATAAGAAAACAAAATATACAACAATACCTATTAATGCTAATTAGGTTTCCAAAATGTAGACATTGATATAGAGATTAGAATAGGATCTAAAAAATTAGATAAAAAGATAATGTTAAAAAAAAAACTTAGATAAAAAGATGTAACAAATTAAACTGGATCTGAAAGTTTCAATGAATTTAGAATAATAGAATTTGTTGAGATGTTGTGAACATAATAAAGGAGTAACAACTAACAAGCAAGGAAAATAAGAATCATTGGCTTATATAAGAATTTTAAAAAGAAGTAGTTAGCCAATGTTGAGCATCATCTTGACAAATTCATCATAATTGACTTGACCATCACCATCCAAATCTGCCTCCTTTATCATTTGTTCAACTTCTTCATCTGTTAGCTTTTCCCCTAAATTTATCATTACATGACTCAACTGCAATTATAACAAAACTTTTGTCATTAATAAATAAATCAAACTATTAATTTAGTCTAATGTATTACTCTCGATCGACTAAGCATAAATTAAATCTTTCATGTCAACCATTCCGGTCTGGCCCATCACAGAGACTAACTCCGTTTTGGTTTTTAGTTTTGTTAAAATCAAAATCAGAATGTCACTATGAAACGACATTTATAATGAGACAAATGTTCAAACTCGTTTTGGTTCGATTTTGACCATACGATTTAGAATAAAATGACATTTATAATGAGATAGAGCCATAGAGGTATAAACTCGTTTTCGTTTCATTTAGACCATAAGATTTAGAGAAACCTATAATATTATGCTTACAATTTTATAATTAATTTGTAATCTATGTTTTTCTTATCTAAGTTTGTATTGATATTGGATGTGCATGCAAAAATGTGCATATATTAAAAGTACATGAATTAATATAACTTTTGAGGATGTAAAGAAAGGTATAAATATTTAATTAAACTAGGTGAAACATGTGCCTTCTGGTCCAATAACCCAATAGAATCATACTCATTTTACTTACTCCATTTAATTGTTTTTTTTTTCGCAATGCCAGCTACCTCTAATTCTAAGCCTTCACGATGCAAAACAGACTTTCCAAAAGATAAAATTAAATAAATAAATAGCACTGTCTTATAATTATTTTATTTAAAACAAAAAACAGTTTAGAACATAAATGAGACAACTATGAATCTCTTTAAAATTGGAAGATTGTCTGACCTTCTTGTCTGATTTTTGTCAATGGTTACTAAACATTTCAAAGTATGATTTAGCTGGATTTATCGTTTATCTAACTAATGCGAAATTAATTGATCAAGTTGACTCATAGTCATAATTATAGAGATATAGAGCATGTACCATTTAAATGAATTTGGTTCATGTACCGTTACGTTAGTAGACACAAAAATCTATATTATTATAGCTCTAATCATTTATAACCAAATTAAACACATTTAGACCCCCGTACATGCTATTATTGGAGGACGTTGTACAAAACGCAATCCAGTGCATTCAAACTAACTTGTTTTTATATTTTTTTTAGAGAAGTC